GTCGTCACAACCGACCCAGAAGACGAACGTCCTCGGTTTTTACCGCCGTCAGAACTTGAAATCTCACACCGGAATTCGAAATGTTTCCGGCAGTCGTTTTTAAACCCACGTTTATCCAGACGATCAACGCCGTCTGTCGATGTTGACCGAAGTGCATTAGTTTTACTAAAGTGCCGTCTGAAACAACGAAGTGACACAAAGAATGCTTACAGAATTTTAGAAGGGAAACATATTCAAAAAAAGATCGTACAGAATTGCGGGAGGAACATTGGATCCGAGGATTCAGACGGATCTTCGGGGAAACGGAACGTAGTGTGTGCGGAAATGGCACAGGATCGCGTAACACGACGGGAGTCGAACCTCGTACTTCCGCTACCAGAGATTTAGCTGCAATGCCATCAAAGTGTTGCGAGTATTATGATCAGACTGTACGCACACGCCATTTTAGTTTACAACGAACACAACACAAAATGGCGGTCGTCGTTGGACTCATTCAAAAGAAATTCAATGACCAGTTGAAAGAAACACCTACCCGTCACTTCCCACGTTCAGGTCGGGCCTTACCAGGGCTGCGTCAAACAAAAGCACGCTCGTTTGCCCTTGAAGCTTATCTCAGCGTTCAAGACTTCTCCGATTCTATATATAATCTTGTAAAATAAGTTGGTATTGAAATCTGGTATCTATCTGAGATTTCCGGTTGGGGACGCTTACGTCAGCGGTCTCTATTGTGATAATATTTGGGCTGCCCTACGCTAACAGATGTTGACCCACAGCTGACAGTCGCTCACTTCATCAAATCACTTCTTACCAAGTGCCACTGACGTTGGACATTCCACCGGAACTCAAAATGACGTAGAGTCTGAAGTTCTGACGGCAGCGAGTCCGAAGATGGCGGCCTTCTGGGTCGTGGCGCCGCGAAGCCCGGCAGAATATTACCGACGTTTCAGAGGTACTTGCCGCCTCCATTATCAAGGCGACGGCAACGATGTTGGTCTTATGAGTTGGTTGTAACAACGCGTCGGAGAACATCCCGCCTTTATCTTCAGAGCAACAAGTCCGCATCGCGTTAAAACCCAGAACACCAATGTAACATCGACAATGAACCTCAGGGAGTCGCATCACCTGGAAGGCACGTGGTCACAAGAAAATTCCCTGAGAGCCACTACCCTTCCTAACGCATGTCATTTTAATATTATACAACCTTCGAAGCAGAGTGAGAGACAGAGAGAGCAAGTAATGGGAAGAAATATAAAACTACGGCTATGAAGGTTCCCAGGCACTACCCGTTCGTCATTCTGGCAGACGTAGGTTGAAGAGAAGGGAGGGCGATGAGAAGGGTCTTATGCATTCAACGTAGGATGGACGGCATTTGGTGAAGCTCGTCTAAAGAGTTTAAGAATCCGTGAAGGATTTGAGGTAACGCAATTCCTGCCTACGAAAAGCGTTGCTGGAATTGGCAAACAAACCGGAAATTGACTTGACGGCCTCTGCGGCATGGGGATGGGGGGAGACCACTTGAGCCGAAGGCCTCCATGATTTGGGGGTGGCGGGCCGTGCCCCAATTAAATTATACCCTGGCATTCGCCTTACAACTGAGGAAAAGCACGGAAAACCTCAGTCAGCGTAGCCGAGTGGTCAGACCACTCGATGCGCTGACTTGGCCGTCTTCTGGGGACGGCCTCGGCTGGGCTCCTGAACATCAGTCCCCCTCGGTTGCCCTTGGGTGACCTGTCAGCCTCCCGAGTTGCCGGACTAAGGGGTTCCCCACACCAACTAACTTCGAGTCAAATCTCTCGGTCAGTGCTCTGATGTGGTCTGCAAAGAGCGGGATCCCCGTTACTAACGTACCAGGGCGCGTTAGTAGCAATGCGAAGAGACTGGCAGCTGACTTCTAGATCGGGCATGCGTAATCCATCACGGCACAACCCAGAAGACAGCATCTTTTTAAGAATCCAGCCCGTACCGCGAAGAAAACACAACGCCTCACCATTACAAAGATCAACTGGTTAACGCTGTTTAAGGAAATAATAGATTTTTATTCTGATAATTAATTAACCCTTCGAAGCCGAAGCTCGTCTAAACAGCATTTAAGAATTCAGTCCGTACCGCGAAGAAAACACAACGCCTCACCATTACATAGATCAAGTGGTTAACGCTGTTTAAGAAATTAATCGCTGTTTATAATGAGAACCTACAAAATGAGTCAGCGCTCGTTCGGTTTGTTGCCTTGGTTACCATCGACAATGCCATCTGAGATATAAGGTAATCAACTGATTAAGGCATCTCAGTGGATATCAGTGGCTATCAGCCATTATTTTGCGTCAGTCTAACACGTAAGCTAGTTCTGTGTCGGCTTCATCTGTGGTCCAGAAGACGGAATTGTTTAAGTCACTTCGGTTTGTGAGTTAAGTGATGTGGGAGTAGGAATTATGGGGCAGAGAAGGATAGATCTGACGCGACTGCTGTGAACGCCTTTTTGCAGACAAGTTACGATGGGGTTCTGGCACTCGAAACCTCAGAAGAAGGCTGACGAGGGTGAGACGGTGAAGCCGAAGAACATAGATCCGGAGGAGGCTGTCGTCAACAGGATTAGGAAAACCCTTTCTCAGGACCTGGAGACCTTCCTACTCAACAACATTCTTCTGTCCGTCCACTTCTTCGAAAACTTCGATCGGTAAGAATATTCTCGCATTATCATCACCACTGGCGATTTGGATCGTGTTTATTTTGGTAGCGAAATGACATTTCCTTCCCGTGTTCCTACGACGACCTGCCCTTATCCCAAGTGATCGACCTTGCGACGCCTTGACAACCAGCTGGTAGCAGGCTGTTTAATGACGCTGTATTAACCGCAGTGTGCAGTCTGATTCCGTGTTCCGGAAAAATAACGTAAATACGTCGGGATATTCACTTGATTAAAAGTGAAAATCCATGTTACGTCACCACAGATCATTTATACTCGGCTCAGTGAAACATTGAAACGCTGAAAACGAAATAAAGCACGTTATTGCATACATAATTGTTAACCAAGGGACGCGGGAGGATGATACTAAAATGTATCTTAAGAAAATCGGGGTGGGTGTGGAGTGACGATTGGATTCAAATGGCTCTGGATTGGGCTTTCTTCAACATGTCACGGCGGTCCAAATATTTCCGTGTCAAACATTTGTATGTTTCGCAGTTCCTCCGGAGTATACAGAGATGTCTTGAAAGCGGTGGCAAAATTGCGAGCTCATCCACAACTTAGAAAACAAAGGATTAATACGTCATATCAGGCAGACCCCGAGTGCTATCCTAGTAACAAGGACGTAAATAAATGACGTGACCACACGCGCACAATTTTCCGCTGGAATCAACTCCCACCACGCGTTGCATTTTTCAAAATTATCGTCAGTACATCATTTAAATGTATTAATAATGACAGAAACCACAGTGGACTTTACGAAAAAAGCCATCAGGAGTGTCGTTCGCCTACAATGAACGACTCCTTCTTCAGAAATGTTATCCGGTTTCCTAGCAACAAACACGACACGCGTTTCAAAACCCCATAAGACACTGTTGCATTAAAAATCTATAATACTTTCATTCTTCGCACGTACAATCCCTAAATAATAGGATACAGCGAATTATTATTTTTAGAGCTTACAGCAGATAAATATAATCTGACGGTCTAGTCATGAGAGACACAGAATGAATCTCAATATGTCCGTCTCGTTTATCTTGACAGCTGTTATCTGTTCTCAAAGAAATGCACGCATACCAACTTGACGTCCTAGCAAACTGCATGCACTTACCGTCTGCCAACTGCCACCCAGTTTGACGACACGCCTTACTTGTGAATGGGGGACTCTCGACTCCAGATATGGAGGATAAGCAGTCGTGGACAGCCGACATGGGGTGATACTCAACCGCAAGGCTCCTCGGCGTTAAACAGATTCTTTGAAATGATTTAACAGCATAACTGCGTGCCATATTTGAATGAAAAGAACAGAATTTTAGCCGGAAATTCTGAACCAAGAGATCATTTGAGAGACCTATGAAAACGTGAGATGATGCTATCAGAACAATTTATCCCCTAGAAACCGAAATTCATGAAATTAACAAAAATAAGCCGCTAGTGTACAGCGTGGGTGCATTCCAAACACTTCTTGCTCTCAATGGGAAGGGACGACTACGTCCTAACTGTACGTTTACGACAGCCAGCAACACTTTCGTCATGCATCGGCGCTGAAAACATGGAAAACGACGTTTAATCGTCACCCTGCACTGTATTATACGAGGTGCGATCGGAAAGTTTCCAGACTGTGTCAATAGAGGGCGAACCGGATGTAGTACGAGCTTCTGCCGCTAGGGGGTGCGGCCTACATTCATAGTGAATCAGTGTGCCAGCCGGCATCATCGAATTAGCATTTGTTTCTTAGTTACGGGCGTTTTGGTAGTGCATTACACCGACCCTCCTGCGATTTCGGAATGGCGGATTTTCATGAACAAATCA